GTCCAGGGCCGGCTCGATGACCGCCATATTGTGGGCAGGGTTTGTCCAGCAGAAGCTGGACACCAGGCACAGGTAGACTCGGCTCTCGTCAGCAGAGGCGCTGTTGTGCTGATGTTTTGTTGTGCTGTAATGCGGCTTTTTCTGCTACCCTGCAGCTCCTGTCTTCCAGATGTGAATCCGATTCCTAGGTGTGGATGTTTCGTCTGGGTGCTCTGATTCCCCCCCAGCATCTGAATATATATGATAAGTCATTGATGTGAAATCCTATCCAAGGTGTCAGTTACTTCCAGTCAATGCATCCTGGGACAGGTGTGAACTTGTGCTGGTTTTCAGTATATCTCAGACAGTTTCTTGAACATGCTTGTTATGTATTATTTTCCTCACTGGCTTTGGACAAAAGCGTCTGCCACATAAATACACAAACACATAACTATCTTTATATGCATAACAATTTCACTGGATAGGGCTGTATACATCAAACTGGCAGCTATAGACCAAAACACCTTCCACTAATCCAAGTATTTTTGCACAGAACAAACATACTATCATAGTGACAGTAAGCTATGGAGTGCCCCCCATACACAGCGCTGAGATGAGTCACTCTCTTAATAAATTCGTATATCGTCTTGTTAAACAGTCCCTGCTTTCAGAGACGTTTATTAAGCTTCTTCTCTCTAATCGGCGATCTCTGTAATCGCCCATCGGACTGTCGTTTGTCGACGGTCCCCGATCTGCGATTGTCCCGAACACGAAAAAAGTCAGGGTCCAACATCAAGGAGACTTCCTATGGACGAATCCATTTCAGATTAAACTTCATAATAACAGCTAGTATCTCTTAGGATGCTTTGGCAACAAAAAAGACACGAAGGAAACGACACAATACACTCACTGTCAGCGGTCGCCCCGGGAACGCACTCGCCGTCTGCCTGAGCAGCGCGTCCCGCAAGCGCCGGATCCGCTCCGGGATCATCAATTCGTGCTGCGCTTGGCTGCGGCATCCGCGCAGACTGTTTACTTTGGCTGCCTGCTGTGTTAGACAAACTTGTTACTTATAGAAAAAAAATGCCAGCAACGTGCTGAGAGCCTTAAAGTCACCGACGGGCAGATCAGACGTTTCATTTCAGAACAACAAGACAGCAGAACCGCGCCAACCTGTGTAATATTGCAGTTCAAAAAAATTCCCGGGCATTTGCAACGAAGGTAAGGACATTAAGCCCAGCTAATGGACAGCAATGAAACAGAAGTAACTCTCATATGAGAACAGAGGATAACATATATTCTCGATATAAATAATTATTAACCTTTCATCATTGTATCTGGGTGGTAAAGCGATTCAGTGATTTAGTACTTTTGCCTTACACAGCTAGGGTTGTGTGTGTGTGTGTGTGTGTTTTCCATGATGTGCCCTGTGCTGCCTGTAATCATGTCCAGGATGTCCAGAGTTTAGAAAAAAGGTGGTTGTATAAGCATTTAATCCCATTTTTATTTAGTTTTTTAAATAACTATTGAGTCAAATATGTTAAAAGCAGCCGCTTCCTGAAGTTAACAGGCCGGATTTTGGAAAACATGCTAACAGGGTGACAAGATCTTCCCCGCAAATAGGACCCATGGGAGCATTAGGTATTCTGCCCGGGAGGCGGCCGTCACAGCTGGCAGGAAGGCGCGTAGTGACACTGACACCGGGCTCAATGGGCACCCCAAGCTCATCGTGGCCTAGCTGTTTGCGCTTGCTGCCTGCCTGCCTGTCTGCCTGTCTGTTGGTCTGCGCTTGCTGTCTGTCTCTCTGTCTGTCTGCGCTTGCTGTCTGCTTATCTATCTGTCTGTCTGTGCTTCCTGCCTGCCTGTCTATCTGTGCTTGCTGCCTGTCTGTCTGCGCTTGCGGTCTGCCTGTCTGTCTGCCTGTGCTTCCTGCCTGCCTGTCTATCTGTGTTTGCTGCTTGCCTGTCTGTCTGCACTTGTTGCCTGTCTGTCGGTCTGTGCTTGCTGTCTGTCTGTCTGCGCTTGCTGTCTGCCTGTCTGTCTGTCTGTGCTTCCTGCCTGCCTGCCTGCCTGTCTATCTGTGTTTGCTGCCTGCCTGTCTGTGCTTGCTGCCTGCCTGTCTGTTGGTCTGCACTTGCTGTCTGCCTGTCTGTCTGTCTGTGCTTGCTGCCTGCCTGCTTGTCTATCTGTGCTTGCTGCCTACCTGTCTGCACTTGCTGTATGCCTGTCTGTCTGCCTGTCTGTGCTTACTGCCTACCTGTCTGTCTGTGCTTGCTGTCTGCTTGTCCGAGATTTTTAAACATTCAGATGTGTGTAGGTTTCACACATAAAGGGCAAACGCGCGTTCACCGGTCAGTACCCAAGCTTTATGATTTTCACTCATCAACGGAATAATCTGTAAAAATCCTCTTTCAGAAGACTTCATAAAAATGGCAAGAAAGCTTGTTTATCTGTCTGTTGATGAGGGAAGTGAATATTCTGCTGTCCGCACTAGAGCAGAAAGAGCAGGAAAATAAGCAGGTAAACAGCCAGGGGGCTGCTGTTGGTTTTGATTATGCTGTTCCACATCAGCAAGGTGTGACGCGAGATGTGTGATCTCTCTGGGGGACTTTGGCAGACATGTTTGTTCTCTTCTGCTTACCGTGACCATTGCGTAAGAGGTGATCAGACTGGCGTCCCATTTGGAGAGCCTCTGCCGCTTCTGGACATCACACGGCACCCAGTGTATTATGGGTGCTATAAATATATGTTTTCCTAATAGCAAGATACTCCTTCTGTCCCGGTGCATGCTGGAACTCTGCAATTATGCCTTCTGCTCATCCCATGTGTCCCCAATTAGCTGCGCTCTCCCAGCAGTGTCTGGGCTGGCATTAAGGGCCCTCTGGAGAGACGCAGCACGCATGTCTGTGTGTGTGTGTGTGTGTGTGTGTGTGTGATTCAGGAGAGTGCCTCCAGGGGGTGATATCACATCACCATCTATAATGGTCTCATTATAGCTATCAGCCCGAAGGTGGCTGAAGCACTAATGACAATGAAACATTTGGTTTTTATCGGCAGGTCAGAGCAGCGGGGTAACTGGGGGTCTTCAGGGGTCTATGTCGGCATAGCGATGGCTCATTGTTTGCAGGGAGCCACCCCCTCGTCTTGATCTCCTTGGAGTGAAGCAGAAGGGCCCCGCTACCTCTGAGGCTTCCTTCACTGGTCTTTTTGGTTGGGAGCTCACTCTGTAGCTGGTGTTGTTTATTGGGAAGATGTCAGGGCTGGTGTCATGCTGGGGTGGGGGTGGGGGCGCGGGGGGGACACACTGCTGCCCATTGATACATGCCAGCTTGCAGCCTTTGATTATGGTCTTATGGGTGCCATGATATTACCCAGGTAATATGGAGAGATGGGGGGCTCCGGAATGGTTTATGTACTGGGAGGGTTTCCTGTGCAAAACATGCAGGTGAATGACAGCCCATTTGGGGTTTGTCCTGTACTGCATTGGTCAGTTATAAAAAATGGATGGAGGGATGGGTGAAGGGATGGATGGATGGACAGATGGATAGAAGAGACCAATGATCCAAATGCCCCTTAATAGAATTAAATGTGTAAGAGGTGACATTGTGTGCGTGCTACACAGTCCTGCTGAATGTGGAGCAATTAGTGCTATTTGGGTCGTGGGGGGGGTGGTGGTCACAGAGCCTGGGCTCACAGATGCATTTGAGCCGACCGGTAACGGCAACGTAAAAACTCACTTAATGGTGACCTTTGTACACGTGCGAGAAGATAAATCGCTGCTTGAACAAACAGATGCAGGGAACAGTGTGAACTCCACTTAAAATGATGAATTAGAGCTGAACACCCCTTCTCCGCGCATCGTTAGGCCTATGGCGGCTCGATGGCCAAGACAAAGGCAGCAGTGTGTGCGTGATGACTGTGCTCCATTCGGACACACCCCCAGCCAATCTGCATATAAAGCTGCCCGTAATTTCAGCTTTGTCAATTATCTTTTTATAATTAAATGACCGGGTTTAATTTGTAGATCCGCATATTACAGCTTAATTTGACATAAGCGGCTCTGTAATGTGGCTGGTGGTGGACCTGTAGAGCTCTGCTGTAGGTGTGTGTTCTCTGGAGGGGGCAAAACAGATCGGCAGCTTTCTGCACACAGAAAACATGAACTCCTGTGTCCATGCCGATGCCCTCTGATCGTCTGTGGCGGTCCCCACAGTGCTCCCCCCCACCTGAGGCAGGGGTCAGTATGGGTCAGCTTTTTCACAAGTCATCTGCGTCAGACGAGCTGCACTTCTGCGCTCCGGGGTCGAGGCCATCAGGCCTACCCAAGTTGCGAGGCTTTAGCATATTTTTGCGCATTTAGCCTTTTTCTGCATTACTGCTTTTGCTCCATGCTAGAAATGCGGCGAACTCAGTCGCTGCTCCTGATGCTCTCCTCCCGGGTGGCTTCCTTTTCCCCGTCGCCTGATGATTTCAGATTTATGACCTTATTTTAGCACATAGCGCATAGGACCGCACTCTTTATCAAACCAATTCAGAAACATGACCTTTGCTATCACATGTAATTAAAATAACATGAACACGGCCTAGTCTGCACAGCGACTCACTTACAGTTAAATTAACCAGCGACCCGTTATGACATAATGCAATTGGCGTAGTGTGTTTACTGTCTGTTATGAACAGGTTAACCCATGTAAACCTGAATGAGCGTTCAACCAATCATCCGTATTATCCTAATTAATGAAAAACATTGTGTCCGAATGGACATTTTGGGGAGGATCAGCTCGCTGGAGACAAACCTGGAGACGATACAATGCACCCAAAGATGCTCACACCTCCTTTTTAACATGTATAGAAAAGAGTCCATTTCATTTATTATCATTAGATTTCCTTACCTTCAATTTGAATTCATTTTTTCACGGGGAGATTCAAAATAAAAATTAAAAATAAAACTGCTCATACCATGAAAATGTAAAAAAATAATAAAAAATAATATGTATATATAATTATATAATTATTAACAAACAACATTAAGAATAACACTATTAATAATCAAAATAATATGACACTAAACTGTAGGTCTGAAGCATGCTTATTAAATGGGGTTTGCTAAAAAGATCTGCACCAGTTAAAATTCAGCATCTAGCTACATGCAGTGACAATAAAACAAAACTTTATTTACAATTTTCCTGGCATGATGTATAGTACACGTCCTATATGTCAGTCCTTGGCCTACTGTACAGGATATATTACACAGGCTCTGCCCTGCGCTGTCCCACGTAGCTGCCCTTCCTCGTTTTTCACTCTTCCTGACAGTGCCCTCCTTGTGCTCTTCTCATCAGGCCCAGATCTGCTGTCCTTCTCTATGTCCCGTGTCGCTGGGCCTCTGTGCTGCTAATGTGTCCCTCTTCCCCCAGTCAGTGCATTCCGGATTCCACTCATGTCCCGCCCTCAGAGATTTCATTGGGTTGTGTGCGCATCTTCCTCACTGCCGATTCGCCCAGGGACTGGTGGTGTCTCCCTCTCTCTCTCCGCCCCTCCCCCGTCACAAAGTCTTGTCACTCTCTTTCTTCAGGTGACTAAAAGAGAAAGACTGAATTGAGTGGATATGGGGAAGCCTGTCAACCAGTAGTTTAGACTTTGTTTGTGTCAGAGAGGCTGATGTGAGGAAAAATGCCCATGAAAGATATAACTCTTATTAATTTCACATTTACGTGATAGTTATCTAATGGAATTTTTAATTCTCTTTATAGCTGAGGTGTGTTTTAATCACATTATTAGGATGGACACACACACATACATATACTGAAATTCAGCATTCAGTTACAGCAAGTTTCACTTTGGCTCATCAGAAACAGTCACATGCTGTAAGTTGACCCTCTCTTGGATGCTGTAGGGTGAGGGGTAGGGTTTGGAATTTAAGAGGAATTTAAGAATTTAAGAGGATAGAATTAGGGTTTAGGTTTGGGTTGCAGGTTGAGGTTTAGGGTTTAGAATTAGGGATTAAGGTCTAGGGTTGGGGTTTACGGTATAGGGTTCAAGGCTTAGGAATTGTGGTTAGGGTTTAAGGTACAGGGCAAGGATTTAGGGTTAGGATTTAAGGTTCAGGGTTAGCATTTAGAATTAGGGATTAAGGATTAGGGTTGAGGTTTAACATATAGAGTTTATGGATATGGTTAGGGTTTAGGATTTAAGATATGGGTTTAAGGTTAGGATGTAAGGTTGGGTTTAGGTTATGGTTTAAGGTTCAGGTTAGGGTTTAGGGATTAAGATTTATGGTTGGGGTTTAAGGTTAGAATTAGGGTTTAGCATTTAAGATATGCCTTGCACCCATAGCCTTTGGGATAGGCTCTGGAACCCCTACGACCCTGGATGAGATGGATTTAAGATGTGGGTTTAGGGATAGGATTTAAGGTTGGGTTTAGGTTAGTTTTTAAGATTCAGGGTTAGGGTTTAGGATTTAAGATATTGGTTTATGGTTAGGATTTAAGGTACAGGATTTAGGTTCGGATTTAAGGTTAGGGTGTAATGTTCAGGGTTAGGTTTTAGGATCACCTGTAGTACTCGTCCTGTGTGAGAGAGTGGTGGTGATGGTGGAGCCACTGCTGCTCCAGCGCCAGCCTCTGGATCTGGATTTCGGCGCTCTGGGCTTGCTGCATGGCCTGGAGCTGGTGGGCCGCAGACACGGGGCCGGTCAGGGAGGAAGGCTGGGGCAAATCGCGGAACGGAGCACCTGGGGGGCAGCGAGCCAGGGGCACGAGGGCAACAGTGGGACCGTAAGCTTAGTGCTGCTTGCGAAACTCAAAGGATGAAGATTCCTTTATAAAAATCATCCCATAATGGCTATGTGACACGAGGTATGAGAATCCCCTCCCAGATTTCCATATCTGAGTGAGATGCCACGTGTCATGTGTGAAGGCAGTCGGACTGCAGACTGTGATCACACGGGTACAGCCCCGGTGGGCGGGCAGGCAGTGACGCAAGGACGGCTAGGGAGTGGGCCATTTCTCACCGAAGAGCTGCTGCCGGAGGACCTCGCTGTCAGTGAGGGGGTGTGCCAGGATGGGGGGGCCCAGGGCCGCCCCAGGGTAGGGTAGCCGGGCAAGCGGGGACCCCGAGGCAAGGGGGTCCATCAGGGGGTGCACCCCGCCCGCTGCTGAGGGACAGAGATGTAACAGAAACACAACAATATAATACAGGCAACAACTGACTTTCAACTTTCCAGCTGTTTGGCTGTGAAGACAAACAGTAATAAAAGTCAATGATTTAAAACTTAAATTAAAGCTTTAATACCTGTGATGTTACTGTGGATTTGATATAGAAACAATTAAAGAACTATTGCTATGGGTCTGAAATTTTAGTAGGAATATGGAGGATTATCCATTCCTTTTGTAATTGCGACAGTGATGCCAGTATCTGCCCCTTGGTGGCACTGCAAGTGACGGCGGTGGTAAGAGGTACCTGTGTCCTGCTGGTGCAGGTGCAGGTGGGAGTGGATGTGGGAGTGCTGGTGGTGATGTGGTGTCACGTTCAGCATCTGCAGCCTCCCCAGGGATTCCCCCCCTCCTCCTGCTCCTCCTCGCTCCCGCTCTCTCTCCCTCTCCCTCTCCCGTTCCCGCTCTCCCGAAGAAGGTGCCGTCCTGCTCCTCTCCCTCTCTCTCTCCCTCTCGCCCCCCGGTACTCTCTCAGCAGCGCCAGGCGAGCGGGCCTGCAGGGGGTAGTTCTCAGCCGGGGCAGGGGCGCCTGGTGCTGGCTGGGGGTGTGAAGAGAGGGACTGGGGGAAGGAGGAGTGTGCGGAGGGGTGATGGAGCGATGGGATGGGATTGGATGGAGGTGGAGGAGGTGGGGCCGGGGCGGGCGGGGCAGGAGCCACGGGGGGAGTAGGGTGGTTGGGGAGAGAGGGTGGGAGCACAGAAGATGGCGGGAGGGCTGAGATGGACTGGGAGGCGGGGTTTGAGGCACGATTTGACGCAGCCAGGGCTGTGTTTTGGAGCGGGGGCGGGGCTGGGGCTGGCGGTGGCGGGGTGCCATACAGAGAAATGTCAGCGGCAGCCCCCCCTGCCCTACTGAAGAGCAGGGAGTGGGCGTCGGAGTGGGACAGAGTCAGCCCCGGGTCCGGCATGACCCCCGCCTGGTACACCCGCTCCTCGCTCTTAAACTCAAACCCTGTTTTCATGCGGTCCCTATGCGCCATGGCGTGGGGAAAGCCCATCCCTCCCAGGCCACCGGCCATGCCTCCCGGGCCCGGCCCTGGGCCCCCATGTGTCCCAACCCCAGGTCCCCCTTCCAGGCCGCCCCCATACAGGAAGCCCAAAATAGCGGCAGCCGTGTCAGCTGGGAGATGGTGGGGGTGGCCCAGTGCTGGGTTCTGGAACTGGGGCAGGAAGAAGGAGGGGTGCACGTGGGGGTGGGCGTGTGGGTGCAGATGGGGGTGGTGGGCCGGGGCCCGGCCGGCAGCTCCCAGGGGTGACATGGTGTGTGGGCGTGCATACTCGCTCAGAGTCCTCAGAGCTGGTGTGTCAGGCCCCAGGTAGGGCCCCCCTAACCCCACACTCAGGGCCCCCTGGGGATTGGCCACCACGGCAGAGGCCCCGCCCATGGAAGGCAGCAGCAGGGAGTGCGGCAGTGGGTGGGGTAGCGTGGGATGCAGCGCATGGGGGGGGTGCAGTGGGTGAGAGTGCGGAGGGTGGTGGGGTGGGGCGTGGTGGTGAGGCTGTGGTCCTGGGTGCGAGGAGGAAGAGGATGAGGATGAGGAAGGATCCAGGAGGATGGAGGAGGACGGTGGGAAGAAGAGCGAGGACCCAGAGCGCCCCGCACTGGCTCCTCCACTGCCGCTGTCCTTCTGTGAAAGAAAGCACAAAGGTAAACACTCAGTGGTGTGACGAGGAGCCAGTCTGCCCCCCTCCTCTGGCCTGCACCCACCTGCAGGTGCCTTTCGAGGTCCCTTTCCCGCTCCCTCTCCCGCTCCCTCTCCTTCTCCCTGAGGTCCCGGGCGCGCTGCTCCCCCTCCCTCCTGGCACGCTCTATGGCCTCGTTTCTCTTCTTCCACAGCTTAGAGCCATCCAGGGGCACGAACAGCACGTCACTGCGGGCGCATGAGTTGCCGGTGCCCCTATCCAGCACTCTGTGAAACCTGTGGGTGGGATGCCAGCAGCCATGCATGAGATGTGGCAGCGACACGGCCCATGAGTAGCACCCATGTGGGCAGGGCAAGGCAGCCAGGTTTACCGTGCTGATTGGCTGGCATGGATCGGGACGTCCACCGGCTTAGGCTCTGGGGATGGGCTCCTCAGGACAGGGGCCGGGCTCTCGGCTTCCTCTCTCTCCTCCGCTGGCTCCTCCTTAATGACGGGTGGAGGCGGGGCAGCCGAGGATGAATCAGTGAGCCCCTCGCTGGGTGGGGGAGCACCAGCAGCAGGTAGTGAGAGGCCAGTAGCGTCCCCTACTGGCGGGAGGACCTTGGATGCACTCTGAGGCGACAAAGAGTGGGAGTGAGAGCTGCTGCTACTATTTTTACTGCTGTTGCTGCTGCTGCTAATGGCTCCGCTGCTGTTAGTGCTGCCACCGTTGGGCTGATAGGTGGAACCACTGAACTGGGTGTGGCTCAGGTAGTGGGGGGGGCGGCACCCTGGTGAACAGGCGGTCGCCGCAGCAGATGCGGGGAGCGGGACACTAGCTGTGGAGGAGGAGCCCGACGTGAAGGAGGGGAATCCCGTCATCTGATTGGATGAGGGACTGGGGAGTGGTGAAAGGGGAACGGGAGGAGTCAAAGTCTGGTTGGAGGACTGGTACGGCCCTGGGCGGGCGTGATTGGCTCCAAGACTGGATGGTGGGAGTGGCTGTGCGAGGGAGGATGGTGGGAGAGGGGGAGGTGGGGGTGGAGGGTACGGTGCAGATGGGGGGCGAGGGTGAGAGGAGGACGAAGGGGACAGGGTAGGGGGCTGCGGGCCAGAGCGGCTGGGGTACAGAGTTGAGGGGGGGGGCTCCCTTTCTCTGTCCCTATCTCTTGGCTGCGCCGGGCCCGTCTGGCCCGGGTAGTGGGGGTGAGAATAATCACGACCCAGGGCAACAGCTGTGCTGGGGGGGCTGTGATACTCTCTGGAGGGGGTTGGCAGGGCAGCAGTGGATGGGGGCAACGCTGGGGGATAATCTTTTGCCCCAGCTGGAGGGTACTCTCTGAGGAAGTGGGGCGTGTGAGAGTCAGAGCCAGACGAGGATGTTTGGGAGGAAGGCAGTGGCTGCTGCTGCAGGGCGCCAAAGTCCACAGGCGGCGGGTACTCTCTGTTTGTGGAGGCCAGGGGCTCTGCCAGTGGCGCCAGAGAGGGTGGCTGGGTGGGGGCACCCCCTTGTGGCGAAGTTTGGGCATCCCGGCCCAGGTGTGGAGTCATGGGAACCCCGCCTGCTGACACCGCGGCACCCGATGGCGCAGCGTTACCCCCCCCTGGGTTATTCCCTCCCACCTCCCGCAGCTGCCCCGAAAAATCGCCCCACCGGCCCTCCTTCTCACGTAGACGCCCCGCCCCCCCAGAGCTGAACTCACATGTCTGTGACTGGCTCGGGGTCGGCAGATATTCTCTTCCGGTTTCCCTGTCCCTGGTTGCAAAGCTCGACCCGAATTCACGGCCCCCTGACCCGGAGCCCTCCCTGCTGGAGCCCTGCGAGCCCATTCTGGAATAATCTCGGCTCTGACCCACTGGCAAATTCCCAAAATCCCTTGCTTGGCTGCCATTGGGACCGCCGACGCTCATGTTACCGCTGTTAGCCATTCCAGTCCCAGAGCTTCCAATGCTGACAGAGAATTCCCGATTGATCTCCCTCCCCCCGAACTCCCGGAGCCCCCGCTCTCTCTCGCCACCCCGCTCCCGCTCCCCACCTCCTCCATACCTGGGGAGGTACTCTCTGTGTGGGTGGGGGTGGGGCAGATAGGGGGGGTGGGAGGAATGTCTGGAGGAGGGGGGGTTGTACACTGAGGGCAATTGTTGCTGCACCGGAGGCTGTTGCTGGTGAGAGTGGTGGTTACCCGGGTAACGGGAGAAGCCCCAGCTCCCTGGGCAACTGGAAGCAGCTCCTCCCCATCCAGTGGGACTGTAGTGATGGGGGTGGGGCGGGGGCGGTGGCTGGGCTATGGTGGCAGCTTGGGGCAGCAGGGAGGGGGGGGCACTCCTGTCAGTTAATTTGTCACTCTTCTCCGGTTTGTCCGCCTTGGGGTCCATTTGTAAATTTTGGCCCAGTTCCAGGGGCTTCAAAGCGGGGGGCGGGGGCAGTGAGGCTGGCAGGGAGGTGCCGAGGTTACTATGGGGGTACTCCGGCGCGGCCGCCTCGCCCTTCAACACACACTGGCTGCTGGCTTTGGCACTGGCGCGATGGGAGTTCGGGGCGCCATCCACACTGCTGGGGACGCTGTACTCCATCTTGTTCAGGAGCTTGGAGTCCAGGGGGAAGTATGCCTTCCGGTTAGCCCCACCCTCACCTGCCAAATCGGCCGCTCCCCTGAGGGAGGGGGCCAGGGTGGGGGCCTTCAGCACGCCGCCTTCCTCCGCTCCACCTTCCACATCTCTCCTGTCCCCAGCACACTCCTCCCCCCTCAGCACGCTTCTCCGGTCCTCCCCTCCAGATTTCGGGGGAGTCCCCTCCCTCCCCCTGTCCCTCTCTCCTTGTTTGGGCGAGTCAGGGGAATCGGATTCAGAATCCAAGCTGGCCAAGGGAGACGCAGAGAGGCTCGGTGAAGAGGAACGGTTATCCTGGTCAATGTCCCGCCCACTGCTCAAACTGCTGCTGCTATTAGCCAAGCTCCCACCAACCGAGCTTCTGCTGCCTTGAGATTGGCCGTCTTCATTATCACTCTCCTGTGATTGGCTGGTACCAGAGGGTGGGGGTGGGACGGTTGTAGACGTGTCAATTGAGTGAGTAGAGGCTGGTGGGTTTGAAGCGGAGGAATCCTGACAAAAAAAGAGACAAATCATGCCTTTTAACTGGTACCTAAACTTCATAATGACTACTGCACTCGTCAGAAGAGCACAGTAATTCAGTACTGACCTGCACTTTCTGTCTCTTGGGTGGAGGCACAAGTCCCTCCCCCTCACTCTCTGACGAATCATGTCCATGGGACCGGCGACTGACACGTCCAACCGGCAAATCCTCTCCAGCGGCTCTCTGCCGACGTGAACAGCAAAATCACACGCCAAGTTGCTCTCAAGCCATTCTATGTGTGTTTGCCACATACACATTACATGTTACACATGTGGCTTGACATATTTTCCGACGGATATGATAGTAAACCGTAGACTTACTAGACTTTCCCCAGCACAGACACACGTGGTCAGAGCGCAGATGTCTGACAGCAGTGCATGACGGCTGAGAGACGCGGAGTCTCACCGCTCATACGCACACCTGAGCACGCACACAGCGACAGGGAGGGACACTTACTGGCTGTCTGTCACTGCGCTCAATGCGCGAGGGGCTGGGGTGAGGGCGCCTACCCCTCCTCTCCTCACTGCCCCCCCGCCTGCGCCCACTGCGCATGGGCATCTGGAGAGAGAGGTAGTGAGGGCAGGAAGGGGGCGATAAAGAAAGGGATTAGCAATAGGTGCAGGCGCGGCAGCCCACCTGAGAGCGGAGGCCTACCGACCTCGCATACTTCCTCACAATCCACTCAATCCACATGCACACTCCCCTGGCGCCCAGGCTGTGTCCTGCTTATCCCTGGGCTCCCAAACAGCAGCTAAAGGGAGGGCCGAACAGCCAGGCCCAGGCAGTGGCACATCTCACCGATTCTTTCTGAGTTCGCGTTTTCATTGTCGATGCTCTGCCGGGTCCATTTCCCCTCTCTAGTGATCAGAACTATATTTGGGGCCTCGGGGTTCCGTGCACGTCTTGCACAAGGTCGCCCACTCGTGAAAAACACCTGAAAGAGGGGGGTACAGGGAAAGAGCAGCAGTCAGGACCCATCCCCATGCGGCTACCCGGCCGCCTTCAGCGCTTACAGGAGAGATGTGTCCTTTCTGCTGGATTAATATCCAGCTCAGAATTTCGAGGCGATTCCCAAATACCATTTCTAATAAGTTACAGACGTAAGCCACATATTGGCGAGGAACACTTCACTGCAGTGCAGGGAGACAGAGAGGCAGGCGCCGGCTCAGTGTGTTCAACGCAGGGCCTTCACCTGGAGACAGGTGTGATTCCAGCCTGTGAGCAGCACACTGTGTTCGAACAGGACGGCAAACCACCCCCCCCCCCCCATGTCAAGGCAGCTGGGGAACACGCCCTGTGCCCCCAGACACGGCAGAGGGCATGCTGAACGTGTGCGTCCATTACACCCCGTGTCCAGAGATCCACATGCCTCCAGTGTTGCATGAAAGTTCATCACAACTAATCAGTGATACCCTTTATTCTTATCTGAAGCTGTATATACTTTTGTGGTCCTGCTGTACAGTGTGAAGATTAATAGGCAGGAAATGTAACCAAAGATAGCAAGACTTACATTGTCCATAAATAATATCTGTACACAGCCAGGAACATAAAACACATATTTACATTCTATTCAGGTGCTGTGTAACTGATGATCGGAGGCAAAATACATCTTTTCACTTCAAATGATCCACTCGGCTGCCGTACTAATAAGTCCTCTTTATACATATTGTTGCAGATCCATAGCCACGCACACAGGACATTTCACAATGACACAGTGCAGCAATAGCCTCCAGGTCTTGGCTTGCACACAGCTTAAGACAATACAGTGTTTCATGCAACGCGGGGCAAGGTCTGCACATACCAGCAGCCAACGGCAGTCTGCCGTTACACGGGATCAACATATACACAGAAATGCAGCGCACAAGACACACATGCACACAAACAAACACTCACACACACAATGCATGCGTCCACACACGTTAGCCAGCTCTCCCAGTACATTAAACAGCAAAAAACAAATCCAATGCATCACACCGTGCCTTTTCCGACCAAATAAGACTGCAGCTGATCGCAGCCCCCAAGCAACGCAGCGCCTCGTTTTCTTCTTTAGCTTATTATTAACACACATGCATAATAGATCAGCCTGTGCTATACAGTATGCCTGCCTGCATTTGACTTTACTGTACCGAGCGTAGCAGCACTGTGCAACAAGGCACTTGTGTTTCAGAGGGAGGGATCGGGTGCGTTTACTATACCTCTTTGACCGCTTTCCACCTTAAAGAGGAAATTGCAATAGCGGAATAGGGTGGCGAAATTCACGGAAACGTCTTGATGTCTGGAATGCGTGTCTGTGTTGTACATACGGTTACACCACCTATTCATCGGGGGGCCCGTTTTGGACGTGCATCGCATATATTCAATCTGCACACCAAAGGAGGCGAAGACACAAACGTGGCCACACACGGGCAACAAAAAAAAAGCATATGCATCAGATTTCCCTCTTTCTTACCTGTGATATCCACCGATGCGTGTCCCTTTTCTCCCCCTCTCCTTTCCTCTTTCTTTCTGTCTCTCGCTTTGCACCGCGCGTCGACATATATACACGCAGAGAAACACGCAGCGCTCGCTATCGCATCGTACGGATGCCGCAAGTAATGCACATTTTCCCTTTTTCTTAACTCGGCGCAAGGGGAAAGCGGGGTGCCGCCGAAGACTGTACAAATTGATGCGTACGATTGCCTCCCCCACCCCCTTCTCTCCCCCCACCCTCCTCCCCTCTTTTTCTTCTTTCTCCCCCTCTCCCTCTCTGTCAAGACGACTTGCACTTTTTTGCGGTCGGTACAGGCACAATCAAATGGGGGTGGTAGGGGTGCACTCCTTGTACAGGCAGAAAGAGAGAAAACCGACAAGGCAATGAGCGATTTGCCTGGGTTTTCAAGGAAAAGTGGCAGGGAAAGGGGGAAAGGACGAAGATATCTTATGGGGAACCTGAAAGACTATAGCCAAAACGGGGAGGGGGGGGGGGGGATGTGAGACTGAGACTTTGTCTTTATTTTTATCAGTGCCGGTTAGCACCGTATAAAACGTGTCTCTGTGTCCCAGCCCCTTTTACAGTACCTCCTTCTTCCCTCCATTTTACTGTACCTAGCTTTGGACACATGGAGTGCCCTTACACCGTGGGCTTGCAATCCAACCATAAAAAAAACTTTGTTATGTGTTACATGCATTATAATCCACCAACAGAAGTGTAACTTTCAGATGCACGGTAGCTACTTCTCATACGCACCCGGAGATCGCTAAATTGTTACTTTTATTGGATATTTTCTTTTCTTATCCATAAGCAGTGCGTTTCCTCTACCTGCTGCGCTGAGCTGCATGGCAGCCTTTGCATGCATTAGGCAATGCGACACACCTCTCTGTTTCTGCACACTATGGATACGTGTGTCTATGCAGGCTGTATTTTGACCCAGCCCTCTCCCTCTCTCACTCCAGCCCTTTTTCCCTTCCAAACAGCCTCCTGTCCCGTCTCCTTTTGTGCTGTATCCATAGTAACCAGAAGAGGAAAAATGGGGAGCGCGTGCGTCAGGAGAAAGTGTCCAGCGCGCCCTCTGCCGGCGGTGTTAAGTACTGTAATATTTGCGGGGAGTTCAGTGCCCGGCGCCACATGCTGGTAGTAGGGAGTCTACGCCAAGACTGGGCTTAGTGATAATTTAACCATTGTCAATGTCACCTGAGCAAATTAAAGTAGATTACACTAATAGTATTACTAATAAGACCATGTGAACGGAATTATGTGTTATGTCGTTAAAAGAGTCGATGGCACTGTGACTTAGTGGGTACCGGTGTTGCTCATACCTCCAATGCACTGGGTTTGAATTCTGTTGCGGGTCTCTGTGAAGCTCGTACGTTTTATCCAGTATTGCACTTTTTCTTCTGTTTGCTGCTGCTTACTCCCTCAGTTCAAAAACACGCATTTAAACTGACCGTAGTGGGTGTGGGTGTCTTTCCCTTCTACGATAAACCAGCACACCATCTTGGGTTGTACCCCTGCCTGGGATCCGCTCCAAGGTAAGGGGAAGTCCTTATGAATAGTCATTGACACAAATTGAACAAATTAATTTTATCCAGATAAAAAAAGTAAGATTTAAACCAAGATTTTGATGTTTAACAGCTGCCAGATAAAAACAGGGATTATAACTTCTATCTTAAGTTAAAAAGAATTTCCCCATGAGGGACAAAAAGGATTGATTATTATTATTATTATTAAAACATTTTGCCGATAAGCATCAGACATAATTTTAGACATAGACCTAACTATAAGATTTTAATAATGTAATTATTTTAAGATTTTAATTATTGTGCTGCAGAAATGAATTTGTGCAGGATTAGGAAAGATAATGTTCCCTCTATAATATGTTCTCATTCGGCAGAACTTTTTTTTTTTAACCTGTGAGCTCATCAACAGCTGAGTAACTCATAGTGTTCGCAAAATAACACCTACATTTAGCACAACGTGAGGCTGCACAGGTCTTTAACCCAGATAAATATAAGTTTTCATGCAATAATTCTTTTGGAAACTTGCGTGCTGGTGTGTTCCAGGACACCTCGAAACTGCAGGCAGGTATATACATAAGCTTTAGCTCTTATTATATTACTCATAATGCTGGGTATAATTATATCTTCTCAAATAACTTCCAAGTAGAACTTTCAAAGGTTGTCCAATAGTAAAGCAGTGACAAAAATAGCTATGATTGTTGTCGGGATAAACCCTGAATGCAACCGAATTATTTCTGAAGGCTACACAATTTCTCAAGTATCAAGAGTTTTTGATGTGAGATCAAACAATCAAACCTTTAATTGTAGTTTGACATTGTATCGTTATGTTAGTCTTGTGGGAAAATATTTCCTATTATGACACTGAAATTTCAGAGTCACTGTCGCTAAATGGTATTTATACTATGAAACACTGAATCACTGAATTCTCTCCTTTATATACTGTATATATATATATATATATATATATATATATATATATATATACACACACACATTATATAAAACTATTTTAAAACACTTTATTATGTATGACCTGTTGTCATACGGTTCAGCATAGCCTTGATACTCTAAACATGTACTCTAAACATTACCTTACACATAAATATATTCATAATAACGATAATGAAACTTATGTACAAGGTATAAGTGCAGGTAACTGAAGACCATTAAAAAAATCCCTTCACATCAATAATAGAAGCTGATAAGTGGAACCACTGCACATATGCATTTCAGACTTAGAAAAGACAAACTCTGTTCCCCACAGGAAAAGGCAGGGCTCTGTGGATGAAGTTGCAATCTCTTTATTTGCGGGGTCATTCTGTGGCAAGCTTTGTATTTCAATAGTATCTCTAATGACATTAGGAACATTGGCAAAGGGTGACAGGCAGTATGAGGACAGGAGAGGGTAAAGGGATCAGAAAAAAGAGATAAGATGGGGATTTGCAGGGAGGGCAATGGAGAGAAAGGAAGTGGAAGAGAGAGAGGGAGGCCAAGGATGTAAGGAGGGGCTGAAAGAGTCAGTGTGCGAATGAGAGGGAGAGAGAGAGAGTGTGCTGCTTACTGAGATTTCCATGTTTGTAGGTAAAGCTGTCAATCTGTCACTGTCGGCCATTCAGCCTGTCACTGAGTCCGTGTTTTTGTTTGTATCAGTATGTGATCCAGCCTCTGTTTGTTGATGTGCAGTTGTGTGAGTCAGACTATCAGTCTTTCAGCATCTGGGCATCCCAGTCCATGTCTTTCTCACATTCTCAGTCAATTTCCTTACCGTCTGTGTGTACATCTATTAATCTCCTGTGTGCGTATTGCGCGTGCGTGTCATGTGTCTGTGTGTATGTGTGCGTCTCTCTCTCCCCCCCCACATCTGAGTGCCGGTCTCAGAGAGCGCTGGGATTTCGGAAGTTGTGCCCGGCAAAACGAGCCTGGTCACCAAGCTCCTCCTCGATTCTAAGGAGAGAGAGTGTGGCGGATCGTTTGACGTGATAGAACAGGAATATATAAGCAAAAAGGAGACCTACATCAGGGCATGCATGTGCGTATAAGAGGTCTTTAGGGCCCAATCTGTAATGACATTGACACTGGGTGAAAGGGATATATAAATAATACCAACCTCATCAGCTGGTTATACTTGGCTAGACGTTCTGATCTACACGGAGCTCCAGTCTTGATCTGATTAGGGGTGACACAGAGAGGAAATCCAAGTGACATCATAATGTCACATGAGGATACAGCCTGAAATGCCTTGGCTCAGCTGATGCAGAGTCCAATGAGTGTAAAGGGCTGCTTGGCATGAGGGCTGTGTTTTTGCATGTTTGTTATTCATGGTCATGCTCACCTGCCCGGTACAGAGCCCAACCACCAGGTCAGCGATGAAGGTGTCCTCAGTCTCCCCTGAGCGATGGCTCACCATCACACCCCAGCCATTCTCCTGGGCCAGCTTGCACCTGAAATAGAGGGAAGGTGATGGTCATGCATGCATTAATACAATTATAGGTGTCTGGGTCATATCGATGATATCGGAGTAGAGATCAAAGCAGCCATCACGTTTGTCAACCAGCTTACTGACGTAAATGCCTAGCTGAACCGAGCTATTGCTAAGTGGACAGAGTCCCAATCAATCATTGCAGTTAATACGGGATTTGCTGACACGATGAGCGAATGAGAGTGTTAGAGGCGGGCCACTTACGCCTGTATGGCCTCAGTGACAGAACCAATCTGGTTGACTTTGAGCAGCAGGCAGTTGCAGGATCTCTCCTCCACAGCCTTCTCTATCCGCCGCGGGTTGGTCACTGTCAGGTCATCACCCACCACCTGAATCCCCATCGAGGCGGTGAACCTCGACCATGCTGGCCAGTCATCCTGGTCGAACGGGTCCTCTATGGACACCACTGTGGGGAGGATGGTTGTGCAGTCAGGCACACAGCTCATGCCACATGGCTCTACTCTGCTCAGCCCTGTTTTTTGTTAATCTATCCTCTTGGCTCTTCAGTGACTCCCAATGACATGACAGCACAAGTTCAGAGATGGAAAGTTCAGGTTCAGAAAGTACAAATCTAGACCAAGATTTTGTTTCAACCAACCAGACGAGTTTAAAGAGCCACAGTCACAGAGTACCCAACTTGTTAGCTGAAACAAAATCTTGGTCTGGATTTGTACTTTCTGAACCTGAACTTTCCACCTCTGTAAAAGGCTCTTATTTGCTCCTGTTAGTCAGATTACCAGCTTGTTTCAACCAGTTTTATGAGGATGATATTATCCCCATCAGTCAAAAGATGTAGACTACATCTATCCAACCATTTATCTTGGACAGAGTGACACGGGGACCTGGAGCCTACCCCAGGCAGTGTAGGGCTGGGCTGCACCCTGGATGGGTGCCAGCCTCTAGACCATGTGGACCTGCAGACACTATATTTTTGCTCAATCCCAGTTGGGATTAGCAAAAACATGGACTGTCTGGCAGGGAGCTGGGAGGGAGAAAAAACCTGGACCGTCTCCGGGTCACCAAATCTACTGAAAAATATATACGAGCCATTATGGCATTGAGGACTATACACAGCATAAATCAGGGTTATTCATATTACGGTCCTCGAGGTCCGAGCACTGCTGGTTTTCCGGCCTTCCTTTACCTGTCAGTCAGGTGTGAAGCCTCTGACCAATCAGAATCAGTAATTATTAAATTAACTACCTGGGAGAACTGAAAACAAGGCCTGGATTTGGAATTGAGGTCCAGATTTGAAGAACCCTGGCATAAATAATAGACTGTGAACAGGTGGAAGGGATGATGGAGGCCCACCAGGATAATCATTGACAAAGCTCTGGTATATATCAGACAGCTCCTCAGCAGTAATGTGTCTGTCTGGGTTGGGAGGAGATTTGAAATCCAGGTCGTATTTGCCGTCACGGTAGAACTCGGAGGCGGCCACGTCCATCCCCACCACCACTTTGTCGGTGAAGCCTGCCTGGTCTATAGCTGTCTTCAGGAGCTCCAGCGCTGCAAGGGGAGTGGAAAAGGAAGAGGTGCCCTTCACTGGTGCCAGCGCGTCGTACATATATGAGAAACAGGAAAAGCCATGGTGTGGGGTAACAGCCAGCTGACCAATCAGGTGGCCAGTTGCCTGTCAGGTGTGTCAGCAGCTCATAGCTTACCCTCGCTGTTCTCCAAGATGTTTGGGGCGAAGCCACCTTCATCACCCACGTTGGTGGCATCCTGGCCATACTTCTTCTGTATCACCCCCCTCAGGGTGTGGTACAGCTCTGCCCCGATGCGCAGGGCCTCCCGAAAGGACTCGGCCCCCACAGGAAGCACCATGAACTCCTGCATGGCCAGCTTGTTGCCCGCATGGGAGCCTCCATTGATCACATTAAAGGCCTTAAGAGGAAGGAGAGAGACCAGAACATCAGATTAAAATGGAGACCGGGTACCGGTAAATGTCTTGCAGATCCATCTGGACTTAAACGGTGCAGATTGGAGTCTCACAGGCACAGGCAGCACCAGTTCAGTGTTCCCGGCCAGGTCGGCAATGTGGCGGTACAGGGGCACGCCTTTCTCCGCTGCGCCCGCCTTGCACACTGCCAGGGAGACGCCCAGGATCGCATTGGCCCCAAACTTTGCTGAAGAATGAGCGTCAGACGAACAATTCAATAAGCGTGATACAAGCATAGATATATACACAAATCTATGTTGGAATCAATGAACCTAACAGAGAATCACTCAACAAATTTCTCTACACTACTCTACTCAGGTCTACTCTGCTCTACTCCATTATAAATATCTGGTTATAGTCATAGCTTATAAAATAGCTCTCCATTTTATTAGGAATGCTGCTTTTGCCTATTAGCCATTTTTATAATTAAGTTATTCCATTTTATAGTACAACCTCATTAAAACAGTCACACATTCTAGTATTATTTTTAAGATGCATTATACTGCTGATAATCACACATGACCCAGACCTGAAGGAGTGCTTCATGTGGATGGACAGTGAAAAAGTGGTAAATACTGAGCGGACAGGCAGTGAAATGCTTCCTGTTTAGGTCACACTTGGGCCCTTTGTGGGCTGAGGACTGAGGCACTTACACTTGTTCTCAGTGCCGTCCATCTCAATCATCATGTTGTCCAGCTTCTCCTGCTCAACGACGCTGATCCCCTGGAAAAAAGGGGCAGCGATGGGGGGGTTACAGCCTGCATGACCACTCTGTCATCTCACTCGTCCCCCACCTTCCACGGCCACACACCGTCACCTTGGCTGGGGAAGGCGACTCACCGACTGGATGAGGGCGGGTCTGATGGTGTCGTTGATGTGAGATACAGCCTGCAGCACGCCTGGAGCAGGAAGGGAGCGCGTGATGCAGAGGCTCTTCCAGAAGGTTCCGAATCAGCACATTCTCTCATTAGGAACAGGGTCCCTCACCTTTTCCCTTGTACCGGTGTTTGTCCCCGTCTCTCAGCTCCAGAGCCTCATAGATGCCAGTGGATGCTCCGCTTGGCACCGCGGCCCTGAAGAGACCTGAACACACCAGGAGGGGGCACAATGAGATGGAGGAGTAAAAACAGAGACACATGGCACTGGCTCTCAGGGCAAACTGTGTACGATATGCTTCCCAGCGTCGCTGCTCCTTAAACAGCTCAGCGAATCACGCGTAGTGATGATTGTTGGTGCTTACCGAGTGCCAGGGGCCCTGCTTACCTTTTGCGGTGTACAGGTCTACCTCCACCGTGGGGTTTCCCCGCGAGTCCAGGATTTCTCGGGCCACGATGTTCACTATGGACATCCTGCGAGCAAAGACAGACCATGAATAAAAACACGCGAAGAGATGTGGATAAACTTCCCTCCGGTCAGTGTGCCAGAGGGCATGCAGGCAGTGACAATGGCTGTCTGTTTATAGCAGGACTCGGGAACTACTCTTAAAACTCAAGTCACCTGATAGGTCACCGTTCACTGTGTCACATCATTCCAAGTAAAAATAATGCGTTGCAATTAAACCCAAATCACAGGCACAGACTGAATATCCTGCACAAATATACACTATAGCACAGACCTGGAATAATACATAGATAAAAATTCACATCACGCATTGCAAAACAGTATATTTCAAAGAGAGTTTGAAAACATGACCCTCTAGTCTTCATATTCTATATATAATGTACAGCATGTACTGTGATATCCCTCCCTCCTACCCAACACAAATCCTCTCTCTCACTCTCTCTCTCTCTGCAGGAAACTAACACAATAGGCCTAAATACTGAAAGACCCTGAGATGGAGGAAGAGGAAAAGATGCAGGGAAATAGGACACAGTGGCCAGAGATTATTCAATTATTGAAGCCCCCCACCCCCACCACTACCACCACCACCTCTTTTAGAAGAAAAAAATAGATGACAGGCAGAGGGAGCAAAGGTTGTTCAAGGAGTATAAGTGACCTCTCCGCTGTCATCAAAACAGAACAGGGGGACAGGCGAAAATCCGTCCGGTTTTAAGGGAAAAGAGCAGATGCTCGGACACACGCTGACACAAACAAGCGCCGCCAGGCACGCAGAAGCGCGCACCGGAGGAACACTGACGCATTAGCGCAGAACCAAAACATGCACGAAGGTGTACACGGAGCCCCGCACACGGAGGCACGCAGAACCGTACGGTGACATGCAGGGACACGGGTCCGAGGAGCGCGCACACCGAAAACGCGCACTCCTGCACGCACACGCACCGACAGGTTACCGCACCTGGCGTTTGATTCTAAAACGACGGCGGAGCGGAGCCGAAACAGGAAAAAAATACTGACAGACTACCAAAGACGACGAAGGACAGAATGACAAATGCGGAGAGGAAGACAGAACAGATTCGGGGTTTTTAATTTCCATTACCTGCCGTCGTTGCTTGGTCTTGTAGGAAAAGCGAGAGAGTGTGAGAGAATGAGGGATAGAACTGCGCAGGGGAGGACGGGGGGGGTAAAATGTGTGACGGGGAGGGGGAGGGGGACATGTGAGTCATTGAAAGATGCAGAGAAGGAAGGGAGGGAGAGTAGGTCAAGGAGACATAGAGATGAGAGAGAAAAAGAGATGCAGCACGACTAAGGGAAAGAGAGGATTGGTGTGTTTCAGAGAAAAATGACAGGGCAGTTTGGGGAGGTACAGAGGGAAATGCAGCACTGATCGCTTCATGTTAAAAGACAGGGGCTTGACGTAACGAAGCAACGTTAGTCATGATTCAGCATGATTCAAATAACCTTCTTAAATTTTTGTATTTCAGGTCATCTATAAAACAACGTTTAAAAGATTTTTTTTTTGTTATATGATTTTCTTCCAAATTATCATCTGGTCGAATTTATGGAAATTAAATTATATTATTGTATATTGTATCTTTGTACATAGAGATAAAAACAGAGGTACTGGTGTCATACAGGGAGGACAGCACAGGGAATATACTTAAGAGGGATCTAGGATTGTAAGTGCCTGAGGAGGGAAGAGACATAATCTGACAGCATCATCTGGGTTTAAAGTGATTATCCCAATGAAGAACTAGATACACACTGCGCCCAATGCCAAGATAAGGAAGCAAACTACTGGGCGAAAGCAAAAAGGTGACGGAGAAAGAAAACAACCAGCACATCAAGGGATGACAAATGCAAAGGGGAGAGACAGGCTCTCATTGGCTACTTTTCTGGTGTGTTCTAGCTGGAGGTCATGTGACCATCTGCTGGCATTCTCTCCCTGGGCAGAAGATGGAGCCACTGAGCCACAGCACTGTGGACATTTCTCATATAAACTGCAGATGTAGCCAAAGCAAAAGGAAGGGGGAGTTCCCCAAGATGGCCCCTGTTTGCAGTGTTTCCCATACCAGTCCTCGGGACCCCCAGACAGTCCACATTTTTGTTCCAGGAGCTGGGATGAAGCAAGAACGTGGACTGTCTGGAGGTCCCCAAGGACCAAGTTGGGCAACACTGGCTTACAGGATGGATTTCACGTTCAGAAAAACACATACACACACACACACAATGATTATCAATGAATTTTATTATGTAGTTTCATCAATGGTGTACAATTTAACCCACACACACTACTACCTTACACAAACATATATGCACTGTACAGTGTACCGCATAGCATTAATGTATAGTGCCAGTGTCTATATACAAAACGTGTGAGTGGCATACGTGTTTGGATGCATGTCAAATGTCGCGTCGTTCTGTTAACCGTAAGCGTGTGTGCTAGTTGGAGGATACGCATAGTTTATATGTATAAACAGCCCAGTTATATCAAACATCTTAAACATCAGGAAGTTCCTTAATGCGTCCCTGGTTATGCATTCACAGCATCACCTCATGATCCCATTTAACGTTTTTCACCTGCAAAGGAAAAATAAAAACAAATGGTTATAAACGAACATGACAGCGTGAGGCAACAGCAGTTTTTGACGACGGCGTCACTCCTGTTGTTCTCTTACTTCGCCTGTCCCGCATTCACCAGTCACAGCGTGGGCGGGTGCTGGATGAGGGGTGTCGTGGAGAGTCGTGGTGAGAGCCCGGTGAGGAGGAGCTGGAGGGGCCAGTAAGGGCCAGATGCTGCCTGGCCCCTGCCCTCCTGTCCCTGCCGTAGTCCAAGCCACGAACACTGGGGTGCGGATACCTCAATGTCTCCCGTCTCCATTCCTCGTCAAAGGCCGAGGCCTCACCTGGAGGGACAGGGCACCCAGATCAGACCCGCTATCCCCTGTCTGTTCACAGCTGCTGTCTCGGAGGGGTAACCCCCCCCCCCCCCCCCCACTAACCCTTGCCCATCCATTATTACACAATCAAGCTGAGTAGGGAGCAGCCAAGTCTACACTGCTGGGAAAACACCAGCTGAAGTCCCAGAGTGGGCAAGTGCGAAGGCAGAGCGGCTCTCACACTCCTCCAGGTTGATGAAATCCTGCCGCTCCTCGTGATCGCCGGTATTGCGGTTGCGCGAACGCTCCATCACGTGACCCCGTTCTCCGATGTGGTGTCCAATGGCCATGCGCTCCAACCCAGTCTCGCTGTCCCGCATGGTTTGACGCGTCTCCCTTATCTGTGGGTGTGGACATGGCCCAGTCAATCTATCCCTGTTTATTTCTACTCTTCCACAAGAGAACGCTCTCCATCCCATTCACAACAAGGTAATCAATTTTACAGAGAATTCTTTCAAAATGTTCCAGACCTGTAGATACTGACCAGTTCTTTGCACCTGTTTGATGCAATTCATAAACACAAAACATCCTAGGCTAATCATTATTAGTGTCCGAACTCACAAGTTAAGTATACTGGTAGATATTTCACATAAACAATGCAGGTCAACCATGTTACGGAAAAGTCCATTCCTATCAGGACTAAGGGTCCACATTGTTAACCATGATGCTACACATCACCAACTAGTGAAGACAATTTTTAGGCCTTCTCTTACCCCTCCGGGTGCAGTCCTGAGCTCACTGGTCTGCTGGTAGACCTTAGGCACTCCAGAGTCTGTAGAGGAGTAGGATATGACTGTGGAGGAAGAGAAGGTCTGGCAGCTGGGAGACCCTGACAACCGCTCCTAGGCAAAGGGAACAAGGGTTGAGAGAAGCCCAGGGGCACATAGCTGCACATCACACAGCTAGTGGAGAGACTCAAGTATCACGCACCATGTTCCCCATCATTCCTTCCATCATCCCGAACATGTCTGTGAATCCGCCTCCCTAGGAGAAAGGGGCCATCAGCATACTCGAATGAGAAAGCAGCATGCAACAAGCAAAACCATAAAAGAATGCTCACCATTCCCAGCATCCCAAAGGGGGCCAAGGCACCAGCCTATGAAAGAAACGTGTCAGAAGGACAATTGCTTTATTAAACAACAGGAGAGAAAGCGAAGTTAAAGACAAATACTACATTGTGAAGTAACTGGTGAATGGAAAAGAAAGTGCAGTGTGGATGGCTACCTGGAGGTGAGGGGCACGAGGTGGTTGAATCTGGGGGCCGAGGGGAAACGGCTCGAAGCCAAACGACCCAAACAAACTCCGCATCTGCCGCCTGTGGGCCGCAAATGGATCCCTGCAAAGAATGCAAGGACACCACTCCACTCAGACATAATATACAGGTCACAGAGAGAAAATTCTAGAACCAGGGAAGAAAGCAACCTTTAAGAAGACCAGAGAGCTGAGCGTTAATACCTAAACACTATATTAATCATTATATTAAAGGCATTAAAAAATACCTGGTTTTTCCCTTAAACTCCCCACCCCCACCATACACCAATCCAGGATATTGCATATAATGCACTAATCACATATTAATTTCTGTAAATTCACGTACTGGCCTACTGTACTGGATAAAAGAGGCAAGCACAGTCCATAAAAACATACAGGTTAGAGATACAATTTCACTATGGCAGAATGACTATGTGGGCCAAATACAAAATTAAAATCCTTAAAAACGTGGGAAACTTCCTACAATACTTACATCATGAATGGGCTTTCGTCCACGTCACTCAAATACCGAAACATTTTTTCGAAGTTTGTTCAGTTTCGCTTCTTCCCTTTAAACAATAAGTTACATAAAGGTACGATCACGCAGAAACCGAGTGATATATAATCAGCAGGGAGAATTACGAAGATCCCCGCAGGAAATACATACAGATATAAGCACCGTGACTAACAAAAGAGCAACAAATCGCAGGTCAGCTCGTTTAAATAGTTAGCAACCCAATGAGGGTCAGCTTAAATCTAGTTTATTGACCGGATCGCACGTCACACATGAATCTGATAACGACGTTAGCTGACCATAAATAAACACGAAAAAAACGCAATTTAAAAAAGAAACTGACAGGATCCAGGTGAGGGTCTGCCGAGCACGTACCCCACCAAAACAGCTAACGAGCCCGACCGCTTTACTAATGCTCAATCTCCAAATCTGTTATTTTCCAGTATTCTTATGGAAAAGCTACGCCGCCGTATCCCCTTATTGTAAAATTAAATATATACTGACTGAGGAGCGTATGGTTTCTTAATAAACGAATCCCGATAGGTTAGCATGAGTGTAAATATTTGCAGCTCTAGCCTGGCTAGCTAATCGCAGACTGAAGCGGAAGTCGAGATGACAAAGGAAGCCAGGGCGACACAACGGAGACGCTCTTCCTTCGTTTCTCTTTTCCTGAATCCGCGCACACTCCGACACTATTCACATCAAAACAAGATGACAGTGCCCTTTTCTTATTTTCCTTTTCAAGGTAAAACCGGTTAACAAACAAGCTGTACTTGGTACCGATAATAAATAACACGCAATACGGAAAGAAGAGAGGGAGGACGGCTGTTCTACAACCCCGTGACCCGCCGGAAATGGCGTCAATCGCTGCGGCGATGCAGTGTATCTTTTCCTATATAATTATTATTATTAGTAGTAGTAGTAGAAATAGTAGTAGTGGTGGTGGTACTAATATGCATAATCAGTGTAATTTCATATTTTAAGTTGGATACAGTGCGCTTAAATATTTTGGTTACTTATTTCTATATGAGATATGTAATCTCAACATAACGACTGCATTTGCGAAAACCATAAGGTTTATGAGTATAATTAGTCATAACAGTTCATAAAAAAATGATACATGCAGTTGAGAGAGGTATTTATAAAATATAAAATGAGACACTACAAAGTCTGCCGCCAGGCCAGCTCAGATAGCCTCTTTATCATGTTATAAAATCTGTCGCTAATTATATTTGCACAACTACTACATCTAATAATAATGATCCTAAAAAGAGGCAAAAGAGATTTTATTTTAATTATAGTAACAGGGGAAAGAAATGTTATATGAAGGTCTGAAATTTATTTTTAAATGTAGGCCTACTCCTTTTTCCCCACAAAAAACTTATCATGAACACCTCTCACGTTATATAAATAAGAAAGATTTTCTTTAATGGTTTGATTATACTTTCAAGAAGGTGACATGATATGTGGGTGATTCCAGTATTTTCCCATCCTCCAATGTAAGCCTGAAAGAGATGTAAGTGAAATCGGCGAAAGCGTAATTTGTTCCCTAGCTATCAAGCTCCAAGTATGGTTTAGCGTCTGCTTGAACTTACTTTTATCATTGTTTAGTAAGGGTTTTATCATTTTTAGAAATTAGATTGGAAATCCCACATTGAAAATGGGAACAAATACTTCGAGTGATCCAGATCCATCACTTCGTTTCGGGATGTTAGAACACAACAAATAAACAAAATATGACTTGTTAATGTCAGTTCCTATAATCGATCACAACTTTTTGATAAAGGTGTATGACTTTAATTCCAATTGTTCATTAAGTTAGATGATATATAAGGATAAACCCATAATAAATTTGAATAGCAGAAATAGCAAGAAACCCCTAAATGTTATCCAGTAATAATGTGGTTGAGGACAGTTGAATATTTATTTGTGTAAAATGTAAATGTTAAAGCGAAATAATTATTAACCTCCGGAACTACAATACGGAATCCCAACACCGTCTCTTTGGATATTGCATGATCAGCCTTAGTTTTCCTATTCTTTTCAGGCAAATTGTTCTTAATTAGTCTGTAACTGTGGGGAAACTGTGGAGAAAGTGTGTGAGTAACTATAGCAATCAGCTGGCTAGATCCAGCGATTGCCAAGACAGGCTAGACTGGATAACCGTTCTTTGAAATTTCCCCTCAAGCGATAAAAGTCTCTCTAAAATGCTTTTTGTCAAGTATTATTCGCCAGAAATTGTAAAAGATAATATAGTGGTGCTGCAACATAAATGTGTGTAATTTTTTGAGCAAGTCGTACAAATGGTAGGCTAATTAAAAAAAAAAAAAAACATGGATTAATTATTCTTTAACACATTTCATGTAATTTACATACTAATGCAATATTTTCATAATTTCGTAATATTTTCATTGTGCAACATTCTCTTAATACTATTCTTGGAAACCGAAACATGTCATGGTATTTACGTGAGTTTGCCATACTCTTCAAGCTACAGTCACAACCATGAGGGCGGTGCCTCAATAGACTGCCCCCCTCATTGTGACGTCAGAGCGGCGCTGGCTAACCCGGATGTAACCAACGCCTAACTTGGGGTGAGACGGTAAGTTATAGCCTGTTAACTTTTAAATTTTTTCCCAACATCAAATTAACTTAATATTATGAGTTGCTTGATCGCTACTTAAGCTGTAAGACAAGCGACGGTGATGAATTATGCCAGGTATTATAGCTGTGACTGTACAGGCAGTTTTACTTTTAGCTAGCTATCGAAATTCGGCACTAGCGGCTTGCTAACTCATTATATGGCTGTGAAATTTCCGTAGCTTTTTAAAAGTTTCTTTGGCTGTGTCGCTAATGTGTTTTGTAACCAAGGTTGCGTATTTGTTTATTTGAGGTGTCCTACAGCTTGGTAGCTTGCTCGATAGTCGATTCGGTTAAATGAGCCGGGTAGCGCCGTTTGGTATGGAGAGTACTGAAAGGGACATTGGCGCTGCCGGCCAGCCGTCTTCACGCTACTACTACTACTAGTTTTCCGTGGTTGTCCAGGTTATTTGCTTGCAACAAGTTCACTTAATCGATGCCTAGCAAGTTAGCAATTCTTTGACAGCGGTTTTTCTTCCCCAAAGTCGTCTTCACGTAATATGCGGAAGTCAAGGGTTAATTGTTACTGTCATCAACATTTTTCATTTAGGAAACTTAAGTGTGCCTCTTTTCGATCGTGTGTATGTTTTAAGCGGAAATCTAATTGTATTACCTAATTAACTGGATGTATCCAGAACTTCTTTCTTTGCCTGCTCTTCCACTGACACTAGACATTTCCAGTACGACTGCCTGTTTTGTGTTCCTCTAATGATTTTCAGCTATTTTGTTTAACTTACATTTTGATTATGCCCAGTATTTTCATTTACATTGAAGCCAGTTTCAGATTCTCATATTCTTGCAAATAAATGTCTTAACTCCTTGGCCCATCTTGACGGAGCCTATGTATTGCTTTTAACAAGACGGAACACTGAAATTTGGCCTGTTAGGTTATTTCCGGTGTGTTAGCGGTGTGATCCGTCATATACGTCTTTTGGTGTAACATTTAGATTGTAATCTATCTGAGCGTCATTATAACTGCACATGCAAATTAACTTCCCGAGAACCCTCGATAAATAATTATATATGAATATGATGTCAGAATCTCGGTAATCTCGCTGCTGTCCGGTATTGTGTATTACCTATTATTTTAAACAGAAAAAAACCCGTTGTTCTCATTAACACTTCAGGCACAGACGCAGGCTCACGGCGACACGCAGTGCCATCACAGCCCTCTCTCCAGCAAGCCTTCTCTTCCTGTTGTGTTTTCTGGCGCCTTCTCACCCTGCAGATGCAGACCATAAAGTGTGTGGTGGTGGGGGATGGTGCAGTGGGGAAGACCTGCCTGTTGATTTCATATACAACCAACAAGTTTCCTTCTGAATATGTCCCTACGGTAAGGATGCTAGTGGGTACGTTCCACTTGTACTTTGACAAATAAACAAAATTCAGTGGAAGGTTTGCATTCTGTGTGTCTAATTGCTACTCATTGACACACTTGCTCTTTTGGGTGGTACCAATAGACTAATAGGATTTTTTTTTTTTTATTATGTCATGGGTAGACTGCACGTACGACAGGAGCCATAGAGTAGTGATTGGTGTTATGGGTGTTTTAATCCTTCGTGCTGCTGTTGATCTATCAGCTGGGGAGAGAGAGAGAGCTTGCAGTTTTTGAGCCTGTTACTATCTTTTATCCAGGTGTTTGACAATTATGCTGTGACAGTGATGATTGGAGGGGAGCCCTACACTCTGGGACTGTTCGACACAGCAGGTAACCTGCAGTGCTGTCACCATCTGCTTGTCTTGATGTTGAAATCTAGTGCCCTGGTTACGCACCCGCCACTTAGACTGGCTTCTTCGCCTGTGTGCTCTGCACATCATCACATCAGCCTTTCCTCTCACAGGTCAGGAGGATTATGACCGGCTTCGGCCCCTAAGCTACCCTCAGACGGACGTCTTTCTCGTCTGCTTCTCCGTCGTATCCCCTTCCTCCTTTGAGAATGTTCGCGAGAAGGTCAGTCTCTTCCTCCTTGCACTTTCTATCTGTCTGTCCTCTGTGTTTCCTTGCAGATCTTTCCATTTTCTCTGTAATTTTAGTGAGTTTTCACTGTACCATTTTGTATGAGCTAAACATCGGTGTCTGTATGGATACATAAATATATGCCGCACATTAATACATTATCCAGTGCATCTGCATTATTAGCTGTGATATGTGGGTCATTACAATGCCCTCTGTACCTTTTGTTCTTTCCCCCTTCTAGTGGGTGCCAGAGATCTCCCACCACTGCCCACGAACCCCCTTCCTACTGGTGGGAACCCAGGTGGATCTAAGGGACGACAGCAACACAGTTGAGAAGCTAGCCAAGAACAAGCAGCGCCCCCTGTCACCTGAGAGTGGGGACAAACTTGCTCGGGACCTGCGTGCTGTCAAATACGTGGAATGCTCTGCCCTCACACAGGTATGAGCCGTGATGCGTCTCTGAGCGAGGTGCTTTCTGTTTTGATAGCTGCATCGTGCTGACAGACGTCATATGTGGGAGTTCTCTGATGTATCATGGGGCAGCGCTCATTCAGGCACATTCTTTGGGAAATGAGCACAAATTTGGTGGTGTCGGCAAATATGTGGAAAAATTCCAGGCCTGCCTGGGCTGCAACTCCTATGAAGTCTTCTAAGGGGGTTTACGCTTTGTAATATTAAATGGCCCATATGTTAAATGTGATATTATTATTTTTGTTGTTGTTATTATATATTGCGGTACATTTATATACTGGCTTTCATTGTCTTATGGAACTAGGTGCTATAACCGCTGTTGATGTGTGGAAACTGCTAGGATAATGTTTAGTAGACATATCGCCGGCCATCAGCTTTTTGCAGTGATTTAGTCAGTTCTGCACAGGGAGATGATTATATGGGCTTTGGCTTTTCTGAATGGGAATATGTCCCAGTGCTGAATTCCCTCTTTCAGTATGTGCCGTGGGACCTTTTAATGACCACAGCAAGTCTCTGAATTGTCTAAAAAGCTGGTTTGTCTGTAAGACAGCGTTTCCTTCACTGCTCTGGCCCCGTTGACATTTTTTGAATCGTTTCTAAATGAACCATGCCCCCTGCTGGCAGTAGTTTGCATTCGTGATGAACGACAGTTTGATGACTCACTGGCTTCCAAATGAAATGTATGCGAGAGCAAGGATTTAGCCTGAGAATTTGCAGCTTGTCCAACATGATCTGTTCTGAAGATAAAGCAAACTGTGGCTAAATTTATTTATAACATTGTATTGAATATGCTCATCTCAAAATGGGAGCTTGAACTGACCTTGGTCCAATTTCAGTTTAATCCCACCTTAAAAATAATTACAATAATAATAATAATACATACAATTTACCAAATTTCAGCCACTCATTGTATTTCCTTTTTTGGACATCTTTCTTTGGATTATTAAAAGAACAGTTAAGACATTTTTTTAAATTAACCTAATGTCTACTGAGGAGTGTTACTTATCAGGACCGTTACCATAACCTGTTACCTCTCATCGTCCTGGTAATAGATTTATTTGCATAAATGCATGTAGATGGTGCCCATGGCAGAAATCGTTTAATCTCTGGTTGCAAACACAGCATAGACAACTTGCAATTAGAGCTACCGAAATTACACTCTGTGCTGTATAGTTGGAATAAGGAAGCGAAAAGATCGTTCTTAGCAAAGTTTTAGTTTGCATCTATGCTGAATGCATATTTGCAGCATGCTCTGAAAATACGTTTCCTTCTGCATGTTCTTTTAGGGTTTTAGTTCTGTTTGTACTATATTTGTTATTATATTGACACATAACTTTGTGTTTTTATAATGTTGTTATGCAAATCAAGGGCTGGGCAAGCACACAAAATTTATCAATATCACTACCAGAACAATACCTGGATTTTGATACCAGTTCCTGAACAATACTTTTTTCGATGCCAGTTTGTGGCTGTTATGTTGACAACAAGATACATTAAACATTACAGCACTAATCTTTTATTTGAACAAGTTATTTTGTTAGTTATTGGTTTGTTACTGGGGGGATCGATTGCAATCATAAAGGGACTCCGCTTTTTATGTATATTTTACCAGGGCTGTCAAGTTGCATCAGAAGTCTGGATTTTGATTACACCTGTTAGGGATGGAGTGTGTGTCTCACGGACAATGCGTGACACTTTAGAGCTCTGCCTACCGCTTTCATTGGGTCTTGCTCTGTCAGTTCCACCTTGTCTGCACTTCGTATGTGCGCGCATTAGGGCTGGGCGATATCATATCGATATTGCATTGCGCATGTGCAATAATCACCAGAGCTTCAGAATTCAGATGACAGGCGCAACATTTGGCCAAGTGTCAGCTTTTCGGTGCTATACGGACATTTATTTACGCCCACAATTTGTTAAGCAGTTTACTAGAATGGCTAAAATATTAATGAGGCTTTTTATGATCCCCAAAAGTCATTATTAGTATAAATATGGCATATCCTAATGTTTAATAAATGTGTCAGACTTTGAACTGCAAAAAGTACCACTTTTTACCTTGTTTATCCACAAGATCTTTTAAAAGATGTCGTGGCTCCACTTCTTCACCGCGACTTCAGTGCATATTGCACTGAGGTATACCAAACCGTAGTATTCCAAAACAGTATTATGTGGTGTGCTTTGCTAATCGAATTTAAGAAACATAAAGTTTATACAGATTAGAAGTAGTTTTGGGTATCACAAAATGCATCTCATTAATATTTAAGCCATACTACTAATCTTCTTACCAAATTATGGGCGTAAATAAGTGTCCATATAGCACCGAAAAGGTGGCATCCAACCAAATGCTTCGTCTGTCATTTGAAGCCCTGGTGATTTTTGCGCATGTGCGATATAATATCGAAATGATATTACCCAGCCCTAGCGCGCATCCATGAAATAACATGCTTATAGCGGGATCACATGCAACAAATTCTATTTTCTGATTGGCTGGTAGGTGGCTATTAATTCAGCCTAACTCGATTGGGACAGCTGAAAACTCCTCTCCGTATGCCTGCATCTCATCCATTAATTCCATATAACAAAACACCTCAGTGGGCGTTATCCCTTACTTGTGTAAGTGTGTGAACTGGTTGAAATGTATGTCTCTCATGGTCAATGCGTGAGATTTGAGAGCCATGATTTTACTTATATGACCCGCGTCATGTTTCTAATTCATAAATAAATCTGGCCAGCAGATGAATCTTTCATTTTCCACAGAGTAAAAAACGATGTAACATTATCACACTAATAAGCACTGGGAAGTTTCACCTCCAGCTTTGGCTGGAGACACAGGCAAAAGGTATTCAATCATATTGAGGTACAAAAATAATTTAATCTACTGTCTTTTTTTTTCTGCACTTCTGCATAACTTCCATGTTAGCGCTGTTGCTTGTGGTCAACCAATTAGCAAGTTTATCACTGTAAGCCTCTTCACAGCAGTGCCTCTGACGAACTGCAATGAAACTGAGTTCCGATGATCTTGTTCACACACACACACACACACACACACACACGCACCAATTCTCACTCTCTCCGGGTGTGATGCGCGACAATGCAGTCAGCCACTATATGGGGGCATATATTGGGCATTTAGTCGCACTGTCTCCAAAAATGGTTGCAAAATGTGACTAAATGGTTGCAGACTGGAACTCTGTGGAGCCACACTTTTGATTTCTTAGACATTTTTTTTACACCACGCGACAAACAAAAACCACAACATGCACATGCAAACCAGTTGGCAACTTTGTTTCAGGGTGTGTGTTTTTCCTCCGGCCTCTTTGATGTGCCCGTGAAGTGTTACGTTAGACAGCCAATCACCTGCGACTTTAGATCTTTACACAAGTATGCTGCATGCTTATTACCTCACAGGTGCTGAGATCTACTGTTTGGGAATTTTGCAACAAAAGAAAATTAATTTTTGGATCCTTCATAGGATTATAGCATTTTGGTCGGTACCACAAAAGTACTGAAGTCCGGTACCCGGCCCTATGCAAATCATATTAATGTTACACCAATTTTAAGTTTTAAACCCAATTTCAAAGGGAAATTTACCTCAGGTATACATGACAGTGATCCCTGATTCTGCCGTAATGCTGTAGGCATAGATTACCTTTGTGTTTTGTTTCCTGGTTCAGGGCCTGCAGTTATAACTGGGAGTTTCCGGGTTCCCTGTCAGCATTGTATCACTGTCTGAACCACCATGTTGAGCATAGTGTGAACGGGCCAGGGAGGGAACCTTTAAATATTTCCCCATCTTTTTAACATACTTTAAGGCACACAAGAGGAGGAACGTGCACTGCACATCATTACCAGTGGTTTTCTGTGCTGATTGACTCCATTGTTTCTTTTGAATGTGTGGGGATTCTTAATGTGTATGTGATGAATTTCCCTTTTAAAGAGCGCTGAATAGCTTGCCTTCTGCTGAATCCACTTTGGCTGCCCTTTACAGTGTTAGTGTTAAGTGCCCTGTGCTGTTTTATCTCTGTCTCTCAGCGAGGACTGAAGAACGTGTTTGACGAGGCCATCCTGGCGGCACTGGAGCCCCCCGAGACCAAACCCAAGAAGCGCTGCACCCTGCTATAAGGGGGGGGGGGG